TAACGTAGCCTAAACATGACTTACAGTCAAATTTGTTCAACACATAGAGAGCATATAGCTAACAATAAATTATTCAACTATACAGTTTCTACGGGACGGACCAAGTCACAATTCCCTCGGTGCACGCCCACACGCCCGTCACCTAGCATGTGCGTCACCTCCAAAATAGTCATATGACACAAAAAATTCGGGGTTTCATACTCTCAGGACCAGATTTAAAACTATTACTTACCTCAGAGCGTGAAATTCTATACTCTGCTATGCCTTTGCCTCGCAAATCGGCCTCTGAATGCCTCGAATCTAGTCACAAAAATTTTATTTCAATCAATAAAATTTATTGGAATTAATTCCATAAGAAAATGCTAATTTTCCATAAAAATCCAAATTTTTAGCTCAAAAATCGTCTGTGGGGCCCACGTCTTGGAACTCGACAAAAGTTACAAAATTCGGAAGCTCATTCAACCACGAGTTTAACCATACCAATTTTACCAAAATCTGACCCACAACTCAACCCTCAAATCTTCAATTTAAACAAAGAGGGTTTTCAAACTTTTCCAACTTAATTCACCAATTATATGATAAAAACAATCATGGATTCGGGTAATTTAACCAATATTGAGTTAAGAACACTTACCCCATTGTTTTCCTTGAAAAACTCTCGAAAATCGCCTCTTTCCGAGCTCCAATCCGTTAAAAACTGAAAATGGGAAGTCCCATTTTCAGAACTTAAACTCTCTGTCCAAACCTCTCTTCTTCGCGAACGCGACACGTACCTCGCGTTCGCGAAGCACAAAATGTGCTTCCCAACATTTTCTCTTTGCGAACGTGATACCCCAAATGCGAACGCGATGCACAATCGAGCTCATTTTCGCGAACGCGAGACCCCCTCGCGAACGTGAAGAGTAAATCCTACCTGCCTGAAATTCCTCTTCGCGAGCGCGAGGGCCCACTCGCAAACGCGAAAGAGAAAATCCGAAAAATGCAGCAACAGATATAGCAATCTTACCAAGGCCACAAATGATCCGTTAACCATCCAAAACTCACCCGAGCCCCTCGGGACCTCAACCAAATATACCAACAAGTCCTAAAACATCATACGAACTTAGTCGAACCCTCAAATCACCTAAAACAACGCTAAAACCATGAATTACACCCTAATTCAAGCCTAATAAACTTTGAAATTTCTACAAACGACTCCGGAACCTATCAAATCACGTCTGATTGACCTTAAATTTTGCACACAAGTCATAAATGATATAAAAAAGGTATTCCAATTTTCAGAATCGGATTCCGACCCCGATATTAAAAAGTCAACCCCCCGGTCAAACTTCCCAAAAATTAAACTTTTCAAGCCAAATTCCTCTACGGACCTCAAAATAATATTCTGGACACGCTCATAAGTCCAGAAATACCATACGGAGCTATTGGAATCGTACAAATTCAAATCCGAGGTCGTTTACACATAGATCCATATCCGGTCCACTTTTCTAACTTAAATTTTTAATTATGAGACTAAGTGTCTCATTTCACTCAGAATCCTTGCCGGACCCGAACCAACTAACCTGGTAAGTCATAAAACAAGTATAGAGCATAAATTAAACAGTAAATGGGGGAACGGGGTTATAATACTCAAAACGACCGGCTGGGTCGTTACACCTGATTTCTTTTTTTATATCTCTAATAACCTAACCTCTTGATTTTGACCCTTTTATTATATTTTACGTCAATATTAAAGAATACTAAACATGTAACGTTGTGATATGTCTTGCTTGAGCATATTATATTATATTATTTTAATAAAATTATTATTACCACTTTATTTATCATCTCAAATTCAAATAAGTCTTATTCTTCTACCTTTTTAGACATAATTGTTTCTCTTTTTTGTTCCTTACTTATAGTTTTTGTATTATTTATTATTTAATATTGTTATACTGTAATGTGATGTTTTATTACCCTTTTAATAATTATCAATAAATGTAAAAAAATTATTCTTGAAATTTAATATATTTTACACTATTATCCTCTTATTTCGATATCTTTCATAATTTAAATCTATTAATAATATTTTTTAGTATTATTTAATAATTTTATTTATTTATTTTTAAATAAATCTAAAAATATAAGTATCCTCTCACTATCTCTATTTTCCTCTATATACATTCTCTTCCCTACTAAGAAAATTTAATTAGCTTTTTACATAAATATTTTACCTATACTCAAAATAATATCATATTTTATTTTCAAATATAACTTTGAATTAGTCTAAAAATTAATACATAATTTCTTTTATAGTGTTTCAAAGCTATTAAGTTTTCTTATAATTATTTTTTATATAACGTGCATTTATTTTATTTTCCCTTTTAGTTTCAAGAAACAAATTTGACTTTTAATTTTCATTTGTGAAATGACCTACATGAGATATTTATTTAGTATATTTAAATTTTTAATTTAGTATCAAAATTTTATTTTTCTTTATCTAGCAAGACTTTAATTCTGTGGTCATATCCGTATTTTGAGCATTTTTATCGTAACTTTAAGAACTTTTTAATCTCAAGTTCAAACAGTCTTTTCCTTTTATTTTCAATATAGATTTTTTTGAATTTTAATTATTTTTTCTTTTATCTATTAGACTTTAGTTATGTGGCCTTATGCACATGCATGTCATTTCTTATCATACTTAAACAAAACTTTCTCATCTCAAATTTAAATAAGTTTTATCCTTCTTTTTTTGTATGATAAAACATTTGATTTTTCTCTCTATTTGTTCCTTAGTTTGCTATTATATTATTCAATACTTAATATTATTACATTGTCTTGTAGCTTTTCATTAGCTTATTTAGATTTAATATCCATTTTTACCATACTCATTCTAATACAATACAAAAAAATATAAAAATATTTCAATAGTAACTTTGATTCTATTGCTCATATTTCAAAGTGTGATTTTTCTTATCATATTTTTTTATAAAATAAAATCTTATCTCAATTTTTTACAATAGTGGTTCCACTATCATTTATTTCTACATAATGCTTCCAAAAATAAATAAAAAAAATATGGAACGGAAGAAAACGGATCATGTTGTTAGTAAATAATTACTAAAATAGAAATTCTTATTTTTGAAAAGTTTTGGAATCTATTTACAATGAAAATAGGAGTCAATCTTAATTGATTTATACCTTTAGATTAAATTTGATCAAATCTGATTTGACTTAACTCTTATTAGATTTTGTCCTAAAAGTACCAAGTGATTTTTTTCAGTACGCCACTTAAGTTTATATTAGCTTGACTACCGTCTTTTTNTAGAGAGAGAGAGAGAGAGAGAGAGAGAGAGAATTAATTATACTTTATGTATATTCTTTCGTATAGTAATCTATTTACCATTTATCCAAGTGTTTAAAATTTGTTCTTGTTAAGTTTAAATTTTTAATTATATAAGAAATATTTATTTACTTATAAAATATTTGTTTTCCTGATTTTTCAATATTAATGTGACTTTATTATTCCTTCTATTAAAATATTTTTAATATTTATTTAAGTTTTTCTCTTACTTTATAAATAATTTTTATATTTTATGTAAGATCATATTTTTGTGCTTGAATTTTTTTAATTTTTAAAGTCTTCAAATCTTTGATATCTTAAGTAAATTTTAGTTTTATTAACCTACTCTAAAGTATAAATAGTCATGGGTTATCTCAACTTACGTCTTTCTATTTTTCTTATTTTTTATTATAGTTTTTAATTAATTCTTTACCTCCATATTTGTAGCTAATATGAAAGAAAATCTATGAGTGGATCAATATATATATATGGATAGGTATAGATATAGATATATGTATATATATTAAATTTGTCTAAGGTATATTTCATTCAACTACTTCCATTAATTATGTTCCATTTATAATTCTTAATTATTAATGTTGTCCTAAAATTGCCAAGTGGCTTCTTTTTAGCTTGTCACTTGGCTTAAACACAATGCATACTACCCTCCTTTTAATATAATATAAATTTTTAATTATATAAGAAATATTTATTTACTTATAAAATATTTGTTTGCTTGATTTGTCAATATTAATAAGACTTTATTATTCTTTCTATTTAAGTTTTTCTCTTACTTTATAAATAATTTTTATATTTTATGTAAGATCATATTTTTGTGCTTGAAATTTTTTAATTTTTAAAGTCTTCAAATCTTTAATATCTTAAGTAAATTTTAGTTTTATTAACCTACTTTAAAGTATAAATAGTCATAGGTTATCTCAACTTACGTCTTTCTATTTTTCTTATTTTTTATTATAGTTTTTATTAATTCTTTACCTCCATATTTGTAGCTAATATGGAAGAAAATCTATGAGTGGATCAATATATGGATAGGTATAGATATAGATATATGTATATATATTAGATTTGTCTAAGATCTATTTTATTCAACTATTTCCATTAATTATGTTCCATTTATAATTCTTAATTATTAATGTTGTCCTAAAATTGTCAAGTGGCTTCTTTTTAGCTTGCCACTTGGCTTAACCACAATGCATACTACCCTCATTTTAATATAATATAGATAAGTAACTTAATTGTATTAGTGGTGAGCCGAGGGTCTATCGGAAATAGTCTCTCTACCCCAGGATAGGGGTAAGGTCTGCGTACATATTACCACCCTCCCCATACCACATTAGTGAGATTATATTGGGTTGTTGTAACTTAATTGTGTTAATATTTTAAAAATATTATGTTCGCACATAGACCTTATTTCAAAATTTTGAAATAGTAGGTGGAGATCATTTTAGTTAACTTCCAAATACTATTTTTTAACTTAATTTCAAATAATACAATTTTTTCAAATATCATCCATTTTATATCCAAACTCAATAAATTTCAATGAGCTAAATTTGATAACTTCCAATTGTTTGGGATAAATTTAATATTAACTCAAAACACAAGGACCAAAAGTGCCAAAAACCCTTTCCCCCGTAGTATCTGGCAAATACGTTTGTGCTTGCGACAGCATTTGGTTCAGAGTATCTCTTCCTTAATTTGGCCGACCTGCGATCAGCCGATCACCGCCAAACAACTCCTTACGCTGCTATATATGGAGCCTTCAATTTCAAAACGGAATTCGACTCAAACAAAGAAGGAAATAGAAAAAGATTTCAAATGCGGGGCTTAGCTTGTAACGCCTGTAACAAGGAGTTTTTTGATGAAAATGAGCAAAAACTTCATTACAAATCTGAATGGCACCGTTACAATCTTAAACGCAAGGTACTTCTAATACCCTTTCTCTTATTGTTTTTTTACATAAAGATTCTTTCTTTTTTTATAGTTTATTTAATGGGATTTCTTCTTTCTTTTGTGTTTTACTGCCTGCAAAAACTCTGTTTTGTTTGTTTGGTTTTTGTTTTTTTTGTTTTTTTTTACTTTTTAATGACTGATTATGAACCTTATCATGTTTGCTACTACTTGAAAATGAATACTAGATTTGGTTCTCTTGGAGTTTTTGTGTTGATCATTTTTTACTTGAATTATCTTTTTGCTCATTTAGAATGATTTTTCTTGCATAAAGATTCTTTTTTTTTCTCTGTATTTTGATGGTATATTTTCTTTCCTTTTTGTTGTACTTTGTTGAATGGTGTGATTAAATTTTTAGATGAGAGAATTAAGTTTTTAGGTGAGGTGTTCTGTTTTTGCTATTGATGCAAGTTGAGTGAGGAACTAAAAGCAATGATGATTAGAGAATTGCATTTTACCAAATTAGGATAAGTGTTGCATTAATCACCCGAGATGCACAGGGATTTCGGGTATTGTAGGCGCACAAGAGTAGTGGAGGTCGAGGGGGTTATGCGTAAGATGCACAGGGGTAGAGCTACCGGGCCAGATAAAATAACTGTGTAATTTTGGAAGAATGCGGGTAGGGCAGGTTTGGAGTGGCTCACTAGGCTGTTCAACGTCATTTTTAGGACGAAGAAGATGCCCGATGAATGGAAGTGAAGTAGGATGATTCCTCTGTATAAAAACAAGGGCGATATCCAAAGTTGCAATAATTATAGGGGGATTAAGCTGCTAAGCCATACTATGAAAGTTTGGGAGAGGGTGGTCGAAGTAAGGGTGAGGACCAGTGTGTCCATTTCTGAGAACCAGTTCGGTTTTATGCCAGGGCGTTCGACTATGGAAGCCATTCACATTGTGAGGAGATTGGTGGAGCGGTATAGGGAGATGAATAAGGATGTGCACATGGTGTTCATTGACCTAGAGAAAGCATATGACAAAGTCCCGAGAGAGGTGCTCTGGCGATGCTTGGAGGCTAAAGGGGTCCCGGTAGCCTACATTAGGGTGATTAAGGACATGTATGATGAAGCTAAGACTCGGGTTAGGGCAGCGGGAGGAGACTCGGAACACTTTACGGTTATGATGGGGTTGCACCAGGGATCAGCTCTTAGTTCATTCCTATTTTCCTTGGCGATGGACACTTTGACGAGATACATTCAAGGTGAGGTGCCATGGTGTATGTTATTTGCTGATGATGTAGTTTTAATTGACGAGACACGGGGTGGTGTTAACGAGAGGCTGGAGGTTTGGAGGCAAACCCTAGAGTCTAAGGGTTTCAAGTTGAGCAGGACCAAGACGGAATACTTGGAGTGCAAGTTCAGCAACGGTACCCAGGAAGGGGATATGGAAGTGAGGCTTGATACGCAAGTCATCCCCAAGAGAGATAGTTTCAAGTATCTTGGATCTATAATACAAGGTAACGGAGAGATTGATGAAGATGTCACGCATCGTATCGGAGTAGGATGAATGAAGTGGAAGCTCGCTTCCAGTGTCTTGTGTGGTAAGAATGTACCGCTGAGACTTAAAGGTAACTTTTACAAGGTTGTAGTTAGACCGACTATATTGTATGGAGCAGAGTGTTGGCCGGTCAAGAACTCTCATACCCAGAAGCTAAAAGTAGCTGAGATGAGTATGTTGAGCTGGATGTGTTGGCATGCCCGGTTGGATAAGATTAGGAATGAAGTTATTCGGGAAAAGGTGGGAGTGGCCCCTGTGGAGGATAAGATGCGGGAGGCGAGGTTGAGATGGTTCGGGCATGTTAAGAGGAGAAGTATAGAAGCCCCGGTTAAAAGGTGCGAGGGGTTAGCCTCGGTAGGTAGCAGGAGGCGTAGAGGTAGGCCTAAGAAGTCTTGGGGAGAGGTTATTAGGCGGGACATGGCGCAGCTGGAGCTGACTGAGGACATGGCCCTAAACAGGAGGGTGTGGAAGTCAAGAATTAGGGTAGAAGGTTCTTGAGTAGTCGAGCGTTTCTCTTTGTCTTACTCAGTTCGCTAGCATTAGTGTTAGTATGATATCTTCTATCCATAGATAGCTATTAATACCTAGAGTTTGACTGCATTCTTGGATTCAATCTTATTTCATCTTGTTGTTATTCCTACTTGTTGCAATTACCTTTTCTTTTTCAGTCATTCTCTAATTGAGGGTCTATCGAAAACAGCTCTGCCCTTCCAGGGGTAGGGGTAAGACTGCGTACATCTTACACTCCCCAGACCCCACTTGTGGGAAACTACTGGATTTTTTTTTTTGTTGTTGTTGTTGTTGTTGTTGCATTAATCACCCATTTTAGAATTCTTTAGTCTAATGGTAAGAGCGTAGCTCGTGATGTGTGGGTTAGGCGCACATCACGGGTTCAAACCCTGTTTTGACCGAAGGTTGGTATTTACATGAAGAAGAGTAGAGGAGCGGACTCATTATCCACTTAGTTTCGAACTGTGCACTAACTGGCTCTCGGGGATTACCGGTATAGAAAAAGCGCTTTCGTTTTAGAATCTGGCGAATAATTTGTGTCGTCGCCGTTATTTTTTACGTTGTGCACGGATAAGAACTCATTGTTGTGTTCCTTGACTTTTATCTCAGGTTGCCAGAGTTCCTGGGTTGACAGAGGCACTCTTTGTAGCCAGACAATCTGCACTTGCAGAAGAACTTGCAGAAGAAAATAGAAGATTAAGTGAAACTCCGGTGCTATATAGCTGTGGTAATTGTGGCAAAGAATACAGAAGCTGTACGGCTCATGCTCAACATCTGCAATCTAAAAGTCACCTAGCACGGGCTTCGCGAGAGCTAGGTCATCATGATGAGAATAGCTCTATCATCAAGCCTCTTCCACGCCAACCTTCACGTGAGCCTTCCGACAAGGCAGACGAAGATATTAGCGGAAGCGATGAAGGCGAGTGGGAGGAGGTCGATTCAGAAGAAGAGATGGTTGGTGGGGCGACTGCCTCGTTGAATCAATTAAAGATGAATGGAAGTACTCCTAATGGTACTATTGATGAAGATAGTGATCTTGATGAATGCATTGATGAGTTGGGTCCGTGCTGTTGTTTCATGTGTGATTTAAAACACGATACGATAGAAAGCTGCATGGTCCATATGCACAAGAAGCATGGGTTCTTCATTCCTGATGTCGAGTATCTGAAGGATCCTAAAGGCTTCCTCACTTATCTTGGTCTCAAGGTAAATATTTTAGGTATCTTTTTTCTTTTCGTTTCTTCAAGTTTATTTTGATACTTATGTATGCATTCTTTATGCCCTCAGGTTAAAAGGGATTATATCTGTCTGTATTGCAACGATAGATGTCACCCTTTTTGTAGTTTAGAAGCAGCTCGGAAGCATATGGAAGCAAAAGGTCATTGCAAAGTGCGTTATGGTGGCGGTGGTGATGATGAAGAAGCGGAACTAGAAGAGTTTTATGACTATAGCAGCAGGTATGCTTGGTGATAAGATAGTTTCCAAGAGGGCAATGCAGCCTATATTTAACGGGTTCAAGTGAACCCGATATTATCAATATCGACACGCAACATAGATATATGTGAGAATTCGCTAAAATTTCAACTAATATTGATTCTGATCCCATGATTTCAAAAAATAAAATGTGTTAAAGTGCCAAGAACCTTAAAAGTTGAACTCGTCAAATTTAAATCTTGAATCCACCTATGGATTAGAGTATCATGCATGTAATTTTCATTCTCTATTTGTTGTCTCTTTGCTAAGACTTCTATTTCATGTTCTAGCTATGTGGATGCAAATGGACAGCAACTTGTTTTGTCCGATGATGTTGACAACAGTGTGGAACTTGGAAGTGGTGGATCTGAACTCATCATAACCACAAGAACTGATGATGGAGCGTCTGTTAAAGCACTTGGATCAAGAGAGTTTTTGAGATACTACCGCCAGAAGCCAAGGCCTACGCGCGCTAATGATATAGCTTTAAGTGCTGCCTTAGCCTCGAGGTATGTATTTGACTTGTTACATGGCACACATTGACAACTAATATTAGTCGTTTGAGCAAACAATCTTTTCTCGTCTCAGGTATCGAATCATGGGTCTAGCAACCGTGCAGTCGAGGGAGCGCATGGTTAAGATGAAGGTGTTGAAGGCCATGAATAGATGTGGCGGGGACGCAATGCTCTCTAAGATTGGCATGAAAAGCAATGTCATTCGTAACCTCCCTAAAAATACACCATATTAGTCCCTTCCATATGAATGCACCATATGGTTTATTTTGCAATATTTCTATGAGTGCTATAATATTATCTAGCAAATACTGGTTTTTGGATTACACCATATAGCAATGTTGTTTTTCCTTCTGAGACAGTTGATTGGTAGACTCCTTGCTGGAAATTGGTAGGTAGATTGATTGAACTAGCTCCAGGGTTAAATTTTTGCCTGGCTGGAGAACAGGAAAGTGAAGTTGATGAAGAGTTATAGCCTGTTTGGCCAAGCTTCTCCAACTATTTTTTTCAAAAAAAATTTGTTTTTTTTTTCAAAATTGAAGTGTTTGGCCAAGCTTTTAGAAGGAAAAACAAGTGCTTTTGTGTAGAAGCAGAAGCAGTTTTGGAGAAGCAGAAAAAAATAGCTTCTTCCCAGAAACACTTTTGAGAAAAATACACTTAGAAACACTTTTTAAAAACTTGGCCAAACACAAATTACTGCTTAGAAGTGCTTTTCAAATTAATTAGCCAAACACAAACTGTTTTTCACCAAAAGTATTTTTGAAAAAAGCGCTTTTGGAAAAAAAAACTCTCAAAATAAGCTGATTTTTCCAGCTTGGCCAAACAAGCTATAATTCATCTTGCTAGGTTATCTAATATGTATTAGGTATATTGATCTTGCTAGGTGAATTGGGAATTTTTTTGTTTTGGTGTGGAAGTTTCCAGCATCATGCCTTCTTTTATTCTTCACGTCTTTTATGGTCATTTGTAAAGTTTTTTTATTGCTTTTTATTATATTTCGTTAACTTCTATAATAGCATTTCATGTATTTACATCACTTCCTTTAACAAATGTTTTCCCATAAAAAGAAAGAAAAACAGAGGAAGGAGCCAAAACTAAGGAAGGAATTTGTACGATTAAAAAACAAAATACTTGTACAATAGGAAAGAACCAAATCCAAGAAACGAATGATCTCGATATTGCAAATGGATTTGATGACAGAAACTCATGGACGAGCAGGTTAAAAAAGAAAAAGGCAAAAGGCAAAAGGGAAATAATTTAATTAAATTGCTTCTGATCCAAAAACAATCTCTCACCAGATACATTGAGTAGTTAAATCTTGATTGTTTGGGATTTAAAATCTAAACCTGAAACATCTGAAAAGGCATGAACTCCCAAATACCCCCTTAACAAAAATCAATCCTCAGAACCCAAATTGGAAATTAATAGAGATTTGCCTCCTGGTTAGATTTAAATGCTATATAAAAGCATACTTTTGCGATTCAACAGAAAAATAATTTTGTTACAGAAAACCTGGAAAGCAACATCATATTTTTGTGCTAATCGACACAAAACACACACACACAGAGAGAGAGAGAGAGAGAGAGAGTATTGGTAATAGTCCCCTACACGAACTTAAGAATACAACTACACAACGTGGTCTACAAAGAAAGGAAAAGATGAATCAAGGATTCTCCTACAATAGCTTAAATTAATCAAGTATACTCCTACAATTGCTTAAATTTCTCCTTCAAGCTAATATACAGAAGCTTCAGGTCTACAAACTGCCTGGTCTACGTATCCCATCATTTACCTCTTTGCTCTCGTCTTTCTCACATTTCTGACTGGTCTCTTTCCTTGTTGCTTCACAACTTTGCCATTCTTTGCCAACTCACGTACCAAACCCGGTTCCTCCTGTGATAATTCTTCACTAGGCATCGAAGCAGCTGGACTGTCGGTTGTTTCGTTCATTTCTGGTACATCCACAGCAGATTCGCTAAGAAGCTCACACTTATCCTCGACTTGGGTAGATTCAGTCAATTTCTGCTGAATCGACATTCCTGGTTTAGGCTTCTCACCGCCGACATGCACATTGTTTTGTCCTGATGTTAGACCTGCAGACAAACTGTCGACAGAACCAGCATTATTGCGGTTCCAGCTACAGAAAACTAAAAGAGCTACGCCATTAATTTTTTACCTAGCTTCTATTTCTATAGATGCATATCCATTAGAACTTTGTGCTGCATTTGTTTGAGTCACCTCATGTGCATCAGCGCCAGTTATACGAAGACCTGAACACGTAAAAACAGTTAGATGTGTAAGAGAAATTGTCCTGGTAAGAAGTAAATAGTTAACTTTTGAACCCATTACTTCGAATTAGCTTCACATCATAAAACCAACAAACATATTATAAAGAATGGCCTCAAGTACCATCACTGTGCTCTGAGGGGAAAGCTGGACCATTGGGCCTGTGCGATTCACAAGCAGCATGCTCGCCAACCCTACTTACCTCAATACCCTGTAAAGCTTGAATAGTATTAGGACAAGAGTATAAAGCGAACATGATATTCTGTTGTCCATACGAGATGCTATATTTTTTTAGTCCATATGTTGCAAATACTGAATAAGGCAACTGAAACCCCTAAAACAATTACCTGATCATGGAGCTGAACGGAAGAGGCAGGATTTAGAGGCTGAGTGATATTTTCTCCATCATCTTGTGTTATTTCCACATCTGAAAGGGGAAAAGATGAGGTTCTACAGAAAGCGAGTAATTTGCAGCAGAAAGAGGCAAGATTAGAGCTTAACACACCTGACCACTTAATTGGTACATCTGACAGTTTAGTAAGTCTCAAAGAACTTGAGCTATTTATCTTCTCTCCGGTACTAGTTCCTGTCAAATTACCAACTGCAGATTTTGGTTCTGCCTTGAAAGGGCGAGCACGTAACAGATCCTCAGTTGCTTTTGACCGTACTTTTCGTATTTCATCATGAATATTCCATGAGCCAGATGCAAAAGAATTCTTTTTCTGTGATCCAGTTGCAAAACACATATCAGAAGATAGCAACAAAAAAAAAAAAAAACCAGTGTAATCCCATAAATGGGGTCTGGGGAGGGTAGTGTGTATGCAGACCTTACCCCTACCTTATAAAGATAGAGAGGTTGTTTCCGATAGACCCTCAGCTCAAGGAACAGTAGAGATAAGATAAAGCAACCAAGTAGTAAACAAAGGTGACAACAATGTATTATGGTGACGAGCGTAAATGGCACAACAACAACAACAAACACAACATGTAATAATAAAAAACCATGACAAGATAATATAAAAATAGTCTTAGTACTACTGGTAAGCCTAGGAGGAAATAATAGAAAATTGATAAAGTAAAAAGGGTTTACTACTGCTTGGTAGCTGTTGCATCATCTTTGGCAACATGACATGCCCGATTTACTAAGTTCAGAAGCATGGAGCCTCCTTCAAATCACTACTCAAGTCATAAAGTGTGATCAAAGGTATAGCTTGGACGATGACATAATATAAGATAGAGATTTCCGAGGAAAAAGGTATTGTCGAGGGAGGAAGGTTTTAACAAAAGTGTTTTACCTATCAACCAAATTCAAACAAACACGTCAACTGCGCACAAAAAATGGAACACTATCTAAGCAACAACTAAACAGGAAAGCAGGGGCGGATATACCATGTATCCTACGGTGTGAACCCAGTAGCTTTTGTCCAAACCTTGTATATGTATTAAAAATCCACAAAATATCTATAAATATCTGATTGTGGACCCAATTATTATTGTACATTAACTTAAGGTCGTCATAGGAACCCATAAACTTCAAATCGTGGATCTGCCTCTGCTGGCAACCATTAGGAGAAAAAATTCACAGTAAAAGCACCAAGACGTTTTTGAGAAATTCTTGAAGTCAACATGATAAATCTCCGAAGAACTTTAGCTACCTTTATTATAAGCAATAACCCAAAAATCAAATAATGCAAAATTACAAAACCGATCATAGTTCTTTCAAAATGAAAGCAACACATAAGTGCCTAGGGAAAATGAACCACTCATGAGACAACAATGCAGTAGGAGACACCAAAAGAGAGAGAATGCAGTAGGAGGGAGTAATGGAAATTTTATAAGCCTTTTAGAAGTTTAGTCTGCCACCTGACAGAGGTAGGAAGTTTGGAATGGGAGAGACAAAAACAGTCATCACAGAGTATCCGAGTACTTCCCTCCACCACCTCCCAAAAAAAAAAAAAAAAGCAAAACAATTCCGAAATTTGTAGATAAAGAAAAAGGAAAGTAAAGCAGAATTGTAATAAAAAGAAAGCAGGAAAATAAAGAACCATTATTCGACACCAAAATATCAAATAGATGCACCATGATTTAGCCCTCTAGTATACAAGGAAAAGTGGAAATGACAAGCATGAAAGGCTGGATTTATGACAGCTATTGCATCCCCTTCCATTCTATCCTAGGCCATAATTACTCATTCTTTACTTCAGGCATAGAACATTAGAATTCTCCTTAGCATCCCTTCTTCACCTAATGATAAGATATGCTCTTATTCAAAAAACGAACTCAACTAAATGGTATACAAGACATTAAAGCATCATCAATTTCTAACGACGATATAAACTAAAAAGCACCACGCTTGTGAGTACTCCTCTATTTCTGTCTGGCGATCGGTCAGCATAAATATGCTTGGATTCACACCATATGATATTAGTCAGTATATACTGTTAAAGCATGTGACCATCTCATCTAAAAGTTTATAATGTTAAAGAGAGCACACTTCTATTATTTAGTTATCTCATCAATACACCCCCTCATGTGTGGGCTTGATTCTTTTCATCGCCAAGCACGTGGAGATTTTTTTGATAATGGGTGGCGGTGAGACTAGAAGCCAGAATCTCTTCCTCTCTCTGCTACCATGTGAGAAAGAGAAAATACACGGGAGAGGGAAGCTTCATCATTCTCCTAAGCTATTGGATGTTTAAACAGTACAAACAATTTTCTAACCTAAGAAACAAATTAAGACTACATGACTACAATTAAACAATATCTCCCTAATTGATTCTAACGAATATACACAATATTCTCAACAGCATCTAAGCAACCTTTCTTCTTTGTCACCTTCTCATCTTATTTTTTCAACTTTCTAACAAGAAAATAGCACCAGTCTCCAATTTATTGCTTTTCAAATCCTTCAAATCAGTTCTATCTGAAATAACTAACCAAATTTCGGCTCTTTGAACCATCAAATCTTGCAATGGTAATTTAGGACATTGTTGTCTAATGTTAGCAAACCAAGGTTTAACCACCATTCCATAAATATTATTTCTGAACCATAACCACCATTCCATACATAAGGGTGTACATCCTCCAAATTGAAGGTGAAACGGCAGCAATGAACGCGATTCCGAAATCTTCAAATACCTTTAAGGAAGAAGAAGAATCCCCAGTATACGGTGTTCCTTCCTCAAAGAGCTTTGCCTTCAGATGTGAGGGGGTTCCAAGTCCACTCTGATCAACAGTAGGAGAGGCCCATGGAGGACGAACCTTCATATATGACCTAGCCATATCTACCGGTGAGCCAAAAGTATCATCCACCTACGTTACACAAGCAAGATATCAAAGACAGCATCAAGACAAGTTATTGCATAGGCTCCATTGCGTATCACATAGCTGACAGCAGTAAAAATTAGAAATCTTTGTTCAGGCAAATATTACATAGGAAACAACTAGCAACAATAAGCTCCTTAACGTAAATGATGAGAGCTAGAAGTAGCATTAATATTACAGATAAAATACACATATAAACAATGATTCTGATAAAGTACACATATAAACTACGCAACTAATTCAAGACTAAGCGGGAAAGAGACTGTCTCATTTTTCAAGTTTCCAGAATCAATTTATACTCAACACTACAATGACCTCTTCTTAAAGTTTTTTTTTCGTATTTACAAGCTAAAGTACGTAGAGACTCAAGGAAAATAAGCTTAGTGTTACGCGGCGCCTTCCTGAAGTTCCTTGGAAGGGCGACGTAAGGCTAAGCAACCGATGTCAGTACGGTTGCTATGCGCCAACTGAGGTTCCCTCCGTACGCTAGACTAGATTGTCAGTGTCGTACGGGAAAACCAATGTCGTGAGCAATTGAGCAGCGGAAATGAGCAATGATGATGAAAGATGATGATTGTATTGATGATGATGATTGTATTGATGATGATGAAAGATGATGATTGTATTGATGATGATGATTGTATTGATGATGATGAAAGCTATTACAAAATGCAATGCGGTGTCGGGGGGGGAGACACTAGTACAGAGAATTGTTTGAATGCTTTGGTTCCCTTTAATAATGCTTAAAAAAAATAAACCAAAGTTACATGCGTTGACCTATGAAAGCTGTAGAAACACACTGAAAATGAATGAAGTAAAACTACTCTATAATTACAATGAAAAGGACTTAGTCTTCTACAAGGTGGAAGCAAGTCCGATGACAGCAACTTTGCCTTGAGCATCAAGGTCTGCGCGCGCATTGCTGTTGGCGCGCGCGGCACTATTTGGATTTGCCAGCGGCTGGGCGCTGGTGCTTGGCATTGGATCTGCGAGCGGGGCACTGTCTGTGCGTGCGGCGTTGTTGGCAACATGATGGTTTGTGCTCGCGGCATTGTCGGTGCGCGCGGCACTGATGGCATTTGCCAGCTGCTGGGTGCTGGCACTGATTATTGGTGGGGCGACAGAGACGCATGCGCGCTTGTCACTTGGCGCTGCCGAGACCACGGGGCCGACCGTGGCGCTAGGCGTTGGGAGGCTTGCCAGGACACCACGGGGCACGTCCAAGGGGTCATGGGTTGATGATGGAAAGCAGCCCATGACATTCTCCCCCACCTGAGTTGGCGATGTCCTCGGAGCCTTACTAACCGGATGATGATGATTGGTTAGGCTCTTGTTGGCTGGGAGGTCTGTTCCCCTCGGTGTTGTGAGGTGGCTTTCTGAATGATCTTCCATGTATTTCTGAAATGCTCGGAGGCGGCTGACATGGAAGACTGGATGGATTTTCCACCAGGCTGGTGTGTTCAGCTGACATGAAGAGTCGAGCTATATCTTCTGCCGATATGTTCTGTGGGGCTGCGATGAAGGTAGCATACTTGGGAAATTGGTCTACTACCACCATAATGGTTGCAAGATTGCCGACCTTGGGTAATCCTGTGATGAAATTCAGGGAAATGCTTTCCCAAGGTCTCTGTGGGACTGGTAGCGGCTCCAAGAGTCCCGCTTGTGCTGAGTGATCTGACTTGTCCTTTTGTCATGCTTGACAAGTCTTCACACACTGAGGGGCGCCATGAGTCGCTAGATGCCGATGATCTGATGTTTGATTGATGATGTTGAGGGCAGCCGGAACCGTAGGTTCAGGTCTTTTGATTCCCTTCTTTGACTGCATGGCCGAGATGTTTTCAGCGGTCATCTTTATGGGTATGCACGGTATGGTGCGGGGTTTGGCCCCATTGTCTCCCATCATTAGGAGCATGTTGGCATATGGTACCGGGATGGTGTTGGTTTGCATGAGGAATTCCAATCCCACTATCAGTTCGAAGTCATCGATGATAGCTATGCGTAGGTCGAATGTTCCCTTGTATGGGCCAAGCTTCATATTCCACTCACTGGGGAGATGGAGAGTTGATAGCCTTGACAAGACCCCTACTCTTTTTCACCGCTAGACCGAGGCGTTGCACCTGAGTTGAGGCCAGGTAGTTGTGGGTAGCACTCGTGTTTATCAATGCTCGAATAGGTTTGCCGTTTACTTTCATGTCGACGAACATTAAGGTCCTCTTTTGTGTGGTGGGAGGCCTCTCATCTGCCTTTTCTTTCCCTTTCTTGACGATTGGGCATGCGTTCTTCTTGGGGTTACCAGCACTGGTTCCCGCCAAGGTATTATGAATGAAGCCAACAAATGCGTTGAAGGCACCTACTTGTTCTGGGCCGTCTGAGTCGTCAGTATCTGACTCGCCTCCAACAGTCTGTTGAGCATTGATTTGTGTATTGGGACATTGATTGTTCCAATGTTCCCCGCCGCAATGACGGCACTCTGAAGGGGGCTTTCTCCCCTGATTGTTGTTGACTGAAGCAGCATTGTTGCTGCTTGAGGAAGGAGTCTTGGATTTGGATGCACCTCGATCTCCTCCGTTTCTGTTAGGGCCACCGTTGCTAGGTTGGCTCACGTTATATCCCCCTCGGACAGGCGGCTGGGACCTATCCTTCTGAGTTACCAAATGATAATCCCCAAGGCACACTCTGCAGCTTGAATGGCCTTGGGCAGGGTATCTACCCTTTGTCTTTGCAGCTCCATACGAGCATGAGGTTTCAAACCTTCTATGAATGCAAACAGTTTGTCTTTGTCCCCCATATCCCGTATGTTTAGCATGAGTGCGGAGAATTCTCGCACGTAGTCCCGCACCGACCTGGTGTGGCGGAGTTCACGCAACTTTCTCCGTGCGTTGTATTCCACGTTTTCGGGGAAGAACTGCAGGCGTATGGCTGCCTTCAGTTCTGCCCAATTGTTGAGAGTATCTTCACTAGCCCTGATGGCTTCGTATTTGACTCGCCACCAGAGTTTTGCATCGCCTTGAAGATACATGGCAGCAGTTGCTACCTTTTTGGATTCTTCCAACTGTCCTACGGCATCGAAGTATTGTTCGATGTCGAAGATGAAGTTTTCCACTTCTTTAGCATCCCGGGCTCTGTTGTATGGCTTTGGCTCCGGAATTTTAAGCTTTTGTGGCATGGGGGCAATGTTCATGGCACCCCTGATTTGGTTTTCGCCTCCTTTGAGCAGGCTTTGAAGGGCAGCATTAACAACATTGAGCTGGCCTGTCAAGTTGTCGATGGTTTGCTGCATGACGGTCAGTCTGTCTGCCTCTAGTTCCCGATGGGCTAAATCCTCGGCACGCTCCTGTTGGAGATCCTCGAATTTGCCATGAATTTTCAGCTTTTGTGGCATGGGGGCAATGTTCATGGCACCCCTGATGTGGTTTTTGCCTCCTTTGAGCAGGCTTTGAAGGGCAGCGTTGACAACATTGAGCTGGCCTGTCAAGTTGTCTATGGTTTGCTGCATGACGGTCAGTCTGTCTGCCTCTAGTTCCCGATGGGCTAAATCCTCGGCACGCTCCTGTTGGAGATCCTCGAATTTGCCATGAATTTCGGCTGCCTCGACGGCTGCCGTTTGCCAGTCTTCCTCAGAGTCGCGACTGATGTTTGCTATGTCAACTTCGGCCTGCCGCATTCTGCGGTCCAGGTCGTCCAACCTTTGCACTAGGCTGGTTTTTAGATAAGGCAATGTATCCACGATGGGCCGTAATGCGTCAACCGTCTCTTGAAGGGTCGTGATGCGATCCCCGTAATTCACCATGGTCAGAAATGGTGATGATGGCAATGAGTTCCCTCGTCCGATGTCGAGCCTAGGCTCTGATACCAACTGTTACGCGGCGCCTTCCTGAAGTTCCTTGGAAGGGCGACGTAAGGCTAAGCAACCGATGTCAGTGCGGTTGCTATGCGCCAACTGAGGTCCCCTCCGTACGCTAGACTAGATTGTCAGTGCCGTACGGGAAAACTAATGTCGTGAGCAATTGAGCAGCGGAAATGAGCAATGATGATGAAAGATGATGATTGTATTGATGATGATGAAAGCTATTACAAAATGCAATGCGGTGTCGGGGGAAGAGACACCAGTATAGAGAATTGTTTGATTGCTTGAATGTTTGAATGCTTTGGTCCCCCTTAATAATACTTAAAAAAAATAAACCAAAGTTACATGAGTTGACCTATGAAAGCTGTAGAAACACACTGAAAATGAATGAAGTAAAACTACTCTATAATTACAATGAAAAGGACTTAGTCTTCTACAAGGTGGAAGCAAGTCCGACAGCAGCAACTTTGTCTTGAGCATCAGGGTCCGCGCGCGCATTGCTCGCGCATTGCTGTTGGCGCGCGCGGCACTATTTGGATCTGCCAGCGGCTGGGCGCTGGTGCTTGGCATTGGATCTGCGCGTGGGGCACTGTCTGTGCGTGCGGCGCTGTTGGCAACATGATGGTTTGTGCTCGCGGCATTGTCGGTGCGCGCGGCACTAATGGCATTCGCCAGCTGCTGGGTGCTGGCACTGATTATCGGTGGGGCGACAGAGGCGCATGCGCGCTTGTCACTTGGCGCTGCCGAGACCACGGGGCCGACCGTGGCGCTAGGCGTTGGGAGGCTTGCCAAGACGCCACGGAGCGCGTCCAAGGGGTCATGGGTCGATGATGGAAAGCAGCCCATGACATTAGGTATGTGAAAGAGAGGACAGAAATCTGGTCAAGAAACTACAGGAAGACATTCGTGCCAGTGAAGAAAAAAATACTGTAAACAATTTCAAGTTAATAAAGCTGGAAAATCATAATGTAGTAAATTAAAATAAACCATGAGATGGTTGCAAAATGAAAGACTTACACAGAGAGATAAAGATTTTACTCACGTTTTTAACTCCAGAGCTTAAACCTCCGTGAGTAATATCTAAACCCAATCCGTCTCTCTTTTCCTCTCTCTTTTCCTCTAACCATTTCCTTGCTTCTACAATTGCACGACTGCTGAGATCCAGCGTATCTGAATGAGACATAGATGACTATTCAGCTTTTATGCAAACACTCTACGGGAAGAACGGCAGCCATACCACATGAAAGATTCTTTGAATTATTTTTTGAGAATGAAATATTCTTTATGTTATTACCATCTGCAATTGCTTGATCAGGTATTGCGGAGCGCAAACCAAAGCTGCCTTCTCCTTCTAGTGATGAAAAATCAACAACCCTGGAGTTGATGATTGTTACTAACCTATCACGCTCCTTCCTGCAAAGTTAACATTAGAATAAGGTCGAGAAAGAAATTTAAACAAAAATAACCATCTTTTTTTCCGCCCTCTTTTTTCTATTTTTCTCCCCATATTTTGCTCGAATGCTACACATGCATGTCATCTGACTGTCAAAGGTTGGAGTCCTATTCAATTTTCCATTCAACTTGCATCAATCCACAGCAGTATTTAAGGACAACTCGCAAAGGAACGATTATATTGAAGACAAACATACAAAGAAGAAACTGTCTTTTTTTTTCTATGAAAAACATAGACATGCATACATTAAAAAGAAGCAAAAATATGCAAACTGTATGCTTATTTACAAACGTACATGTAAAGGGATGAATGGACTTTTTAAGTGAAAGTGTTCTTCAGTTCTAGGGCAAGTACAAGGTAATAGCATCTACCACCATATTCAATGCAAAATGGGCAATCACCAGTATTACATGAGCTCAGCTTCTGGTATGACACTTACCACAAGATGTAGCTGTTGAGAGAGCCCTACCCGCTTTATCTAGTTGGACTTGCTTATCGTATGTACTAAACATGAATCCCATTTTCCTCAAACCTGCTAATATCAAGTCTAAACCTTNACCCCCCTAGTGCAGAAAGAGGAAGAGCAACCACATTACTATATTCTTCCTTGCTCGTCTTCTTCATTTTCTTCCCCAACAGAAAATTGAAATTCCAAACTCCATATTCTGTATTATCTCAGATTCAGAGATTACTTCAAATTTCGGAAATGACACAAGTAGGCAGAACAATTTCTTGCCACAGTAGTTTACTGTTCAAGTAACCTCAACTGTACATTTTTATTACTTTATTTGTCCGGTCCAGCTTGCACACCTTGACTATTCCACCGAGTACTTGCTACCTCCCACCAGCACATGTACGAGTAACTCTGCTCACTAAGTCTTAGGTAGATGGAAAAATATCACCTAGTGTTTTTTGTCTCTGTTGGGATTTGAACCCTAGTCTCTAAGGTTTACACCCACTTTGTTGACTAGTAGCTCACACCCTTGCGTGCATTTTTTACCCTTTGATTACTACTTAAGACATCATGTGGTAACAGTTGCCAGATGTGCTGGGAAATCTTTCTTCTGTTCAATAATTACTACATCCAATTTATGTGACACTTCCCATTTTGGATGTCCCAACACACTCCTACAGTTAGAAATATCCTAGACGACTTTCACATCATCAAAGTTAAAATTTGATTTAGCAATTCAGATTTAAAACACAATACATGGTATCCATCTACACCAAGTTTTCAACTACTACTTTCAAGCTTTTTTCAACTTTTTACAAGTAACTTCTTTCAACTATTGATAATAGAATATACAAGCCAAACTAACTTTTTAATCTCTGAACAGAGTCAAACATGCTGCATAAGCTGTGACAGACCATGTAATTGACAAGTATTAGAAATATATATGCAACTTGTTTTTATTAGGAGAAATAAGTATGCAATTAACATTCGTAAATCAGCTTGAGAGAGCAATATACATAGGTACTTTGCTAGATACTCTAACCTTTATGCAGCTATTGAAAGATTTTCCTCACTGCTCACTTTCTTTCTAGATTCTATATAACTTTCTTGTTATCCAATTCCTTCTTTTTAGTTTTTACGCAATCATAACATTTTCTTCATTCTTTCAATATTTGAAGTACACAATTATATCAACATCCTCATAAAAAAAAACCATTCAATTAGATAGTCTAAGCATCTTACTTTGTTAGATGGTAGGTCGTAACTCTGTGTGTGTGTGCGCGCGCGCGCATGTGTATGTGCGTATTTTATTCACTGAAGATATGACTACGAATTGATCTTCTAAATCTATTGGTATTTGGGTTCAGGAGCTAAACTAGCTTCAAAATTATATCCCACTGAAATTTAGGACAAGCATGAGGGTCTTCCTCTTGTTAAAACCAAACAAGATATGACGATAACAGATACAAAAAGAGAACCATATGGTTCAAAAATGACAAAAAGGGTTAAAAAGATATGAAAATAGGTGTCAGTTGATAGTACTTCAGAACACAAAAGAAAAAAGAACAATTTCAAATAGAATGGAAAAAGAGAAACGTAGCTCTAGGAAGAAGAGACGTTCTCTCAAATATTGCTAGATCTCTTGAGCATCAAGTGAAAGAGTAAATGCACTTATTCCTATGAATTGGAGGCATTGCAAACCATTTATATATTAAGAACTATGCCAATTGCAAAAGAATTTCAGAACCAGCTAACCAACTAAACATATGATGCTATCCCTGGAACTCAAACCATAAACAACAACTCAACCCCAAAATCAGACACAAATGACACCCATTTTCATCAAATTGCAGAAATTTTATAAATAAAAAAATAAGCCTGAACAAGGAAAACTCATAAAAAGTTAATCTCTCTTTTTCCCTATCTTTTGAGAAGGGTAATAAAAGTTGATGTTTGAAAAATTTCCCGATGACTTTTTTCAAGCCGACCTTCTGATGGAAAAGAAAATCTTTTTTTTCTGGCAGGGGAGAAATCCTTCGAATTAGCAGACATCGGAGACAGTCTAACTCGATGGTTCGTCCTAATCGAGCGAGGACATCGTTTCACTAGCAGGTTGAAGATAGATGATGAAAACCTCAGATGGGTTTGTGAAGCCCTCAAATCAGCAATGAGGAGTAAAGGAAACAGATGCAAGAGATGGGGAAGGAAAATACAATCGTATGTGTACAGAGTGTACCAGAACTTCAACATCTATGGTCGCTTTGTGCGAATCGAGTCTTGGTTGGGAGATAAAAAATCAGCAGTGATTATCCCGGAGTCAGATTATAACTGGGGTTGGGGAGATGTGGCGGAGAAAATACTCAGGTTTCTGGGTAAACCACACAACCCAGTTTTAAACTGATTTGTAAGCATTGATAGATCCTATGTTGTTGCAGCTGATAGCAACAAATGGCCAGAGCCAGCACAGCATTCGAAAGAGGAAGATAATACTGTCAGAGGTGAAAAACTTCAGTTCCTTTCTAGCTGTTTGGTCGGAACATTCAATGACCCTTCAATTCGAGCCCAAGATGTGAAGTCATTCAACCCTGGTTCATTCGTAGATGGGGAATTCCAGCAGGACTCAAAGTTACACCACTCACCCACAATCAGTTCCTCTTTGAGCTCCCTTCTAGGCAGGAGGCGGAGAGAGTCAAAACAGGTGATTGGTTTTGGAATGGAAGGAGATTGTCTCTTAAATGATGGTCACCAATGGTAGATTCTAGACCCAATATACAGCAGCCAAAGCAACGATGGATTAGGGTTTTTGGCATTCTCTTACATGCATGGTCAGAGAACACCTTCAAATCCATTGGTGATAGGTGCAGGGATATATTGGTGTCGATGAAGATACCAAGAAAAGAACTCATTTTTTCTGGGCTCGAATCTGTGTAAAGATCTCAGAATTTGCAATACCTGGGAAGTTTGAGTTGAAGGTTGAAGATGGGATCTTTGAAATCGCCATTATCAATGACGGCCATACCAGTCCAGCAATCGCCGGAAAAGAAACAGTGGTACGGGTTATTGGCCAGGTGTCTGTTCCAAAACCCACAACTGCATTGAGTCCCACAAAAATAGTAGCTGACCAAACTACTACTAGGCACATGCCTCAGCACGTGGGGCCCCTGAAAGGCATCTTAAAATCACAGCCAGGTCCCTCTAACACTAAGCCACTTCATAAGTCACATTTTGTGGATCGGGCTTATTATAAAAAGGGCCCAATAAGAAGAAAGGCTAAAAAACAGGGCAAGGGGAAAACAAATGGAGTGGAGAAAGATTGGGCCGGCCCAATCTTTATGTTTTAGCCCTACTCTTTTATGTCATATGGCCAGCTCACCACAGGCCTCCTCTATCCAGACAGAGATGGAGCAAACCCTAGAGCTCATCACTGGAGCATCCGAGGAAACTTCTCACGAGGCAGACGATGAAGCAGACCAGTCACAATGCATGTCAATATCATCGCTCCCACGTTTGAAGCTGACATTTACTCTGGTTAGTGCTTCTGAGTCGGACCTCTCCTCCTGCAGTCAGTTTTTGCCACTTCCCTGGTACGAGGGTAGCTCTCAGAACAACCACTCAATTGTTGATCCTTCTGTGATTGAGACAACACAGTGGACAAAAATTGTCATGGCCAAGGCTTGCAAAGCTTTTGGTATTAATGTCTCGAGTTTTGAACATGAAATCCTTAACATGATATTGAGGATGGAACAGAAGAGGAAGGATCAACTTCAGCTTCAAAAAACCAAGGCAAGGGCAGATAAAAAATCGAAAAAGAAAGGGAAAATTGAGGTAAACAACCTTAGGGGTATGATTAATTATGAAAGAGGTAGCTGCAGTTCAGGAGAAAGGCTTATGAGGGGTAGGAAACAAAAAGCTCTTTCAGAATGAGAGTTAAAATTATCAGCTAGAATGTGTGGGGGTTACATGATAGTGGTAAAAGAAACACTATTAAATCTCTGGTGCAAAAGTGGAAGCCAGACATTTTGTGTATACAAGAAACAAAATTGGAAGACTGTTCAATTGCGATGGCAAGGAGCATCTGGGGTTCAAGATGGGTAGAATGGGCAGAACTCCAGGCAAATGGTTCTAGTGGGGGAATAACTATCTTTTGGGACAGGAGATTATGGACTTGTACTGGTGTTCAACAGGGTTTCTATTCTTTATCCACAATGCTTGAAGGGGTCCAGATGGATCTTAGGTGGTGCTTCACTGGAGTCTATGGGCCTCACTCCAATCGGGAAACATCAGATTTTTGGGAGGAATTGTCTGCCATAAGGAGCTTATGGAGTGAACATTGGGTGATAGGCGGAGATTTCAATGTATGTAGATTTGAACATGAAAGGTTCAACTGCATAAGAAGATCCAGAGCTATGAGAAATTTTTCTGACTTCATCCAAGATATGGAATTGATTGATCTCCCACTCCAGGGAGCCAAATATACCTGGTTTAGGGGAGAAGACTCTGCTCAAACATCTAGGATTGATAGATTCTTCATCTCAAACGAATGGAATGACACCTTTGGCTCTGTGAAGCAATTAGCTCTCCCAAAGGTTATATCAGATCACAGGCCAGTAGTGCTGGAAAGTGGTGACTGGTCAACATATCCTTCCTATTTCAAATTTGAAAATATGTGGCTACAACACGAGGGTTTCAGGGAAAAAATTGCAGAATGGTGGCAGAGTTACATGGTTAATGGTACCCCTGACTTTATCCTTTTCCAAAAGCTGAAACATTTGAAGAAAGACACATCCATATGGAACAAAGAAGTATTTGGCAAAATAGAAACAAGGAAAGCCAGAGCTTTGGAGGAACTAATGCTACTGGAGCAACTAACTGAAGGTAGGATCTTGTGCCCAGCTGAAAAAACAACAATGTTGAACTTAAAGATTGAACTACAGCAGCTCGCAAAGACAGAGGAGATTTCATGGAGACAAAAATCCAGGTGCTTGTGGCTTAAAGAAGGGGATAGGAACACAAAATTCTTCCAAAGAGTTGCTAACTCCCATAGAAGATACAACTGCATAGGCATGCTAAAGGTGGACGATGAAATCATTGAGGACAAAGATCTTATCAAAGGTGAAATACTCGAGTACTACCAGAATCTATACTCTGAGGATGAGGATTGGAGACCTACAGCACATTTTGAGGGTCTAGCGCGCCTAACTCCTGAAGAAAGGGTGGGTCTAGAAAATGCATTTTCAGAAGAAGAAGTGAGAGACGCTATAAACATTTGTGCTCCTGACAAGAGCCCCGGTCCAGATGGCTTCACAATGGCCTTCTATCAGAAGTCATGGGATACCATCAAGCATGATGTACTTGCCGCCATTAACCACTTCCATCAAAACTGTCACATGGTTAAGTCTTTCAACGCATCATTTATTGCATTGATCCCTAAAAGAAAAGGAGCTATAGAGCTAAGAGATTATAGACCTATAAATCTCATAGGCAGCATTTACAAGATTGTAGCTAAAGTGCTAGCTGAAAGACTCAAAGGGGTGATAGAGAAGCTTGTTTCTGGTCATCAAAATGCTTTTATCAAGGGGAGGCAAATAACTGATGCTGCTCTTATAGCAAATGAAGTTTTGGACTGGAAAATGAGAACTGGGGAAGCTGGACTTTTGCTCAAGTTGGATGTTGAAAAAGCTTTTGACAAATTGGGTTGGTCTTATCTATTCTCAATTCTTAGAGAAATGGGATTCGGAGAGAAATGGATCAAGTGGATTAGATACTGCATCACCACAGTCAAGTACTTCATTCTTGTTAATAGAAGCCCAGTGGGATTCTTCTCTCCAAAGAGAGGGATTAGACAGGGGGGCCCTCTTTCACCCTTCCTTTTTATATTGGCTATAGAGGGACTCAGTAAAATGCTTGAAAAAACTAAACAACTACAATGGTTTGAAGGGTTCTCAGTGGGTAACAACAGGAGCTCTCCTATTTCTGTGTCACACCTTCTGTTTGCAGATGATACACTCATCTTCTGTGGAGCAGATAAGTCTCAAGTCCTCTACCTAAACATTACTCTTATGATATTTGAAGCTATGTCTGGCCTGCACATTAATATGCTCAAGAGTGTTATCTATCCAGTGAACTCGGTCCCAAATCTGCTAGAACTAGCAGACATTATGGGTTGCAATACAGGCTCCTTCCCTACCACATATTTGGGTCTTCCTTTAGGTGCCAAATACAAGTCCACTGAGATATGGAATGCAGTAGTTGAAAAATTTGAGAAGAAGTTGGCTACATGGCAGAGGCAATACATATCTCTTGGTGGTAGGCTTACCCTTATCAATAGTGTATTAGATAGCATACCCACCTATTTCATGACACTTTTTCCTATCCTAGCAAAGGTTCAAAAGCAATTGGACAAAATAAGAATGAATTTTCTATGGGAAGGGAATAGCATCAGTCACAAGATTCACCTAGTGAAGTGACACAAAGTCACACTTCCGAAAGCACTTGGCGGACTTGGAGTTAAGGACCTCGCCTTACATAACAAAAGTATGTTGATGAAATAGCATTGGAGGTTTAATCAGGATGATGATGGCTTATGGAAGGAGGTTATCATAGCAAAATATGGTAGACTCAACCATTGGTGTACCAATAGAATTAGAACCCCTTATGGCACAGGATTATGGAAGAGCATACACAATTTATGGGGAGCTTTCTCTAATAACGTACACTTTCAGATTGGTGACGGGGCCACTACAAAATTCTGGACTGAAAAATGGATAGGGGACTCAACACTAAAGGAAGCTTTTCCAAATCTCTTCCTTGTTGCAGGAAATCCAGAATCCTTTGTTGCTCATAACAGAGAAGGCAACACATGGAGCCCGATCCTCAGAAGGAACCTGCAAGATTGGGAGGTGGAGGATTACATAGACCTGCTAAAGTTATTGGAGAGCTGCACTATAAACACTCAGCTGAAGGACACACTGAAATGGGAAAACGCAAAGGATGGAACTTACTATGTCAAGGCAGGGTATGCTAAATTGTGCTCCAACAATATGATGATTGATCTATGGCCTTGGAAACTAGTATGGAAGACAAAACTGCCACCCAAAGTCTGCTGCTTCAGCTGGTTGGCCTTAAAGAATGCATGCCTCACCCAAGACAACCTTACCAGAAGAAACTTTCAACTGGCCAACAAGTGTTACATGTGCCAAGTTAACTCAGAATCTGTTAACCATCTTCTCCTCCACTGTTCAATAGCCACAGACATATGGAACATGTTTCTCAGTATTTTTGGTCTACACTGGACAATGCTATTCTCTGCCAGAGATGCATATGTGAGCTGGACCTCAAGGGAAGTTGGCAGAACCATCAAAAAAGTCTGGAATATGGTACCTGCAAGCATTTTTTGGTGTATTTGGGTCGAAAGGAATAGTAGATGTTTTGATGGATTATCAACTTCAATAGGTTGCTTAAAGGCTAGATGTTTGGTTAATTTGTTTCACTGGGCTAACCTTACTACTATAAAAACCTCTGATGTTTTCTTGGACTTTGTCAGCTCTCTAGTTTTGTAGCGCTTAATTGTAAATGAGCTGTCAAACTCACTTCTTTTGTAACTTTTGCATCTTCTTGATGCCTTTAATGATATATTCCACTTACTTCATAAAAAAAACACCAAAAAAGGCCTCTAATAAAATATAAAGAGAATGTTTATCATGAGTGTGAATCATGGAAGAATCATGAGTCTGAATCACGAAAGAATCCAAATTTGAACTTCCTGTTATCCTTTTCCCAGAAAATTATACAAACTACATCAGCATGACGAGTTTCAAATGTTAGCAAACCCTAGAAGAACTACCAAACTGGCCAAAGGGAGCAGACAAGCGATAGAACAATAAAATTAACTTTAAGCTCCGCATCAAGTAAACTTAGGAAGCAATAAAAAAAATTCAAACAAATCAAGGCCAATATGACACTCGCATAAAAAGCTAAGATATAAAGTTAAAGTTCAAGAATAAGGTAAGTGAACTTCCACAAAGACTGTAGACGGAAAGACAGGAAAAATCACAGAAAGATAAGACACAAGTCTCATACAAAGAATATAGATCAATTTAACACTAATAAAACAGAAATTTCAGCAGACTAAATAAATAAAAGGTTTGTACTAACCTTGAAAATGTCTCCTGCATAAGTAGCTGCTCAATTAGGTGCTTCGTTGTACTTCTCTCTCCACTTAATTGAGGATCCTTCATTCCAAAAAGAAAGTTAAAAAGAGTATAAATATTTCTTTTTTGATAATCCAAAAGTAATTAATCATATTACACCAACTTGGTGTCGAAAACTTTGCAAGTAAATCTTTCGTTTTCAGCTCAAAAGTATCTACCCAACTCTACAAATGGTATTTTCCTTTTCTACAAAAAAAAAAAAAAA